TACACTACCATGACCAAACAAGATTTGATGAGTCATGAACAAAGGAAATATTGGTCAGAAACTTGTGACGTGGTTATATTTAACCATTATTTTATATATATAATTCAGAAATTATATTTAATTATATAAAAATTAAATAAAAATTATTATGCAAGTTTTTTTAAGGTGAGTTTGATTTGAAAGAGCTTGTACTGTTTTTATAAATCATGGTATTTATTTTCACACGCTAATCGCTATCAACCCCATATATCCCTCATGTATTTATTCGAGGGACCTTTCAAACAACCAACTACATTTTGTAGCCCCACACGTATTAGTACAATTTCATTTTGAAAAGTTCGTGTTATTATTAATTTTTTATTTTTTTTTAATTTAGTTAAGTATCCATATTCCATATAACTACTAGTAATCTGCACGTGTATGCAGTGCATAACATTAATATAAATTTTATTTTTTTAGTAAATTAATAATCTCCTCTGTATATAATTTCAAAATAGGTTGAGCCAAATGGGAAACTCCCACGCTTCGGAATCCTATTAGGCAAAAAATCATGCTTTGGAGTTAGACTTGGATATAAATTAATATATTTTATCACACTAAATCCATGATTGATTTTTTCCTTCTTTACTTCTACAATTAATTACCATAAATAATTTTATATTTCTTTTTCGTATATTACCATACATTCCATTTCATTTTCTTATTTAATTCATTGATTAGTTATTATAAATGTTTCTTCTTCTTATTTTAAGATTTTATAACTTTTTTGTTTGTATTTTATTTTTTATATATGATATATCAAATTAACTATCTTTTAACGATTTTCGATTTGACATCCATATTATATATATATAATACAATGGTAATAGAAACTAAATTATATAAGTTTAGAATACAAAATAGTAATATATATTCTTATAAATAAAATATAAGTTTATCTATCAAACTAAATTAAAAGATATCAAAATAAAAGTATAAATTATATTATAAAGTAATAGAAATTGGTATGCATTTTTTTTAAAAATTATATTTTTTTCAAATCTAATTGGTATGTTATCAATCTAATAAAAATAAATAATTATTTATCTAAATTCTAAATTACATATAAAGTTAGATAACTGTGAAGCACAACGGATACTACACTTTGATGTATTAGACATCTAATTAAGTAAAACATTAATCTATTTTACTTAATATTAAACAAACATATTTTTGCACTTATGCATATACATATCGCCATATTATTTCTATTCATTTAAGATATATATTTTTTTACTTAATAATAGTAAATAATATCGATAATTTTATATGATATAAGTAAAAATTCAATATGAGTTGACATTTTTATTTAATATACTGGTGTTTAATTATTAAGATTAAAAAAAATAAAATTTGACAATTTAATTAAAACCCAAAGTAATGTTTTATATAAATTTAAATTATTTTAGTTTTGGAAAAAATAATATCAATTACATATGTTTCTTAATTCAACACCCGTGTATTTACACGAGTATTGTACTAGTATACATTATACTACTTCTATAACAATTAATCAAAATTGTGATAGCTATAAAGTATATTAATGCACACTATTGTTATGTGAATTGAAGTACATTAACACTATGACAGTAATATAATAAATGAATAATTGTAAATAATTACTAAATATAGCAAAATGTTTTGGGTGGGAAAACATTTTGACATTATTATTGAGTAGCTTGAATGAATATATTTATAGATGTGATAATGCAATATAGGTTTTTTATTATTTTGTTTACCCGATAAAAAAAAAAAGCTATTAATTAATATTTAAATGATGTATAAATATAGTTTGAAGGAATAAAAAATCTCTTTATATATTGACCGCGCGTCGCAACGCGGCAAATTTAAATTTATAAAAGTTTCCTCAACTAACCTCTATTAACTAGTAGTAGCTGCGAGTAAGGGTCTATCCCACGAGGAGTATGAATTAAATTGTGACAATTTTGTATTAATTGAACTAAACTAAGAAAGCAAATAAAGATGGGGGAATTGGTTTTATAAAAATAAAAACTAAAAATAATAAAATAAAATAAGAGATCAAATAAAATAAGAGAGGTCCAGTTTTTGGTTCAGTTATCACCCAATCTAAATCTACCATTAATCAATTTCGACGCTTTCTTTAAATTGCTAATGAATTACCAACCCTAGTTAACAACAAGCATTGTTAACCGAATTTTCCATTACCGAATATTTAATCGAAACAAGCTCTTCGACTAAACCTAACTGGCAGACAACCTAGAATAAGCTCTCTAGATTTAGTGCACTAGCAGCATTAATTCTTAGAAAAATAGATTATTCTAAGCAATAGACGCAAAAGTTCGGTCCATTTAACTTATGTTCACGCTACCCTAGAGATGCACGACTCCTAGTTTACTACTAACGAAACGAGAACAATAACAATTACGGATTAAAGTCTCGAATCTAGCGGTTAAACAATGAATATTCAACTTAGCTGGCCAAACTAAATCAAACACCATAATTCATAAACGTTAAACATAGATAGCATGAATCAACTCATCAACAAAAATAAACACGGCGTCTCGATTAATCAACGATAAAAATAATCCTTCAATCCATAGACAAATCAAAGTTAGGGTTCAAACATCCCCTAAAACTAGATAAAAGAATCTAGCCTAACATACTAATAGAAATAAATATAGATAAAATAGAGAGAATAAAATTTTCCTCGTGTGCGATGCGGCTTCCCCTCCGCGTAGTGTTCCCTTTTCCCAATCCGAGTGTGAGTTTTCTGTCCGTGCGTCTGTACGCGGCTTTCTTTCGTGCGTGTATCTGATATATCTCCCCTTTGCACAAATAAATCCCTTCGCAAATAAATATATCCTCCAGACCACTTTTGCGTGAGTGTCCCAACAATACAATAAGTCTTCCATACCAATTAATTGTCCAAAATTTTTTGGACACAAAAACGTGGCAGCTCCCATTTGCCCACTTAAGCCAACAAATTAATTGGATTTGGGCTTTTAATTTTATCTTGGGCCCAGACGTGGTCTATATTGGTCAGGATATAGAAAACTCGATAATTGATTGCGTGAACTTCCATCCAGTGTTATGTCGTCTATAAAAACACTCTAATATTCTGAAAATAAACATAAAAATATCAATGTATATGAATCTGTCCAAATAATAAATAAGTCAATAATTACAAACGTGCGATTAAATTAAGCATATAAAAATACAATATTGAATATATAAAACATGCACATTTTTTGACCTATCATATATAAATGCAAAGCTTCTCTAACGTAAGTGTTAATTTTTTTAGGTGCGAATGATATGTCATAAATATAAAGTTTTTTGAACTAAGTGTCAACTTCTGATAAACATTAACATATTAATTATTAAGTAATATTTAAAAGACTTATGGCATGATTGATAGGAAGGAATAACATGAGAATGGAATGATCATTCTCTTACTCATTCCTTATCCCATGCTTGGTATATTTTTTGGGGAGGAATGACCATTCCAATATGAATGACAAAACTCATCTCCATGAGATTAGTCATTCCATAGTAAATGGAAGATTTTCTCATTCCCATGTGTGAAGGAATCAATTTTTCAAAAAATAAAATTAACAAATAATAATAAAAAATAAATATATAATATATATTATAAATCATGATTAAAATATATTAAATAAAATTATTTTAAACAAAAATTCAAATAAAAAAATTGAAAACTTACTTTTATTTATTTTTTAATTAGATATATTAAATACTTATATAAAAATAAAACTAAAAAAAACATTTATATATAATTTAAAAATATATTATTTTATTTATATATATTATTAAAAATATATTATTTTTTAAATATTAAAAATATATTAATTTTAAAAATATATTATTGAAAAATATTAAAAATATATTACTTTATTTTTAAATATTATTAAAAATATATTATTTTAAAAAATAAAATTCAAATAAAAAATTGAAAACTTACTTTTATTTACTGTTTAATTAAAAAATAAAATATATATTATTAAAAATATATTATTTTTTATATATTAAAAATATATTACTTTTAAGAATATATTATTTTTTATATATAATTTTAAAATATATTATTAAAAATATATAATTTTTTATATTATTAAACAATATATTATTTTATTTTTCTATATTATTAAAAATATATTATTTTATATTTATATATTATTAAAAAAGAATTTAAATATAATTTATTAAAAGTATATTATTTTTTTTAAATTTATTTTATTTATTTTTATAATAAAAATGATAATGTCATTCCATTCTAGTCCTATTCTTTCTGCTTACCCAATGCATCAATGACAAAACATGTTTCATTCCATTCTTCAATTCATTCCATTCCTACGAAATTTCATTCCATCATACCGATCATACCATTATAAATATAGTTTGAAGGAATAAAATCGCTCTTTATATATATATAAATACAAAGTTTCTCTAACATAAGTATCAATTTTTTAAAGTGTGAATCATATATGTCATAAATACTGAGTTTCTCAAAATAAGTGTCAACTTCTGATGGGGCTTCAAAATGTTATATGTCGATTTACGATGTTTCAATACCAATTTATAAGGAATCCATTCGTGTGTAGTCCAATTGGTGCCACAAATTAAATATTTTTCATCCAAGGAGTGTTGATGTTGTAATTAATCTTTTTTGAATGGCCTAAAATGAATCAGTGGGGTCAAAAGTATATATGTATAATGTATATTATTCCACAGGCTAGGTAGATAGAAAATTCGTGTTGGAAATTCATCTCTAGGTACTTAATTAATAATATCCCATGTAACACCATATTGACTATAAGTGAAAAGTCTTCCTTTGGGGTACTTATAAATAAAGAAGGATCGATCAAACAACGAAACACGGCCAACTTTCATCAAAAAATTCGTTTTTGCATAACATTTTGCATCATAAACTCCAAATAATAATAATAATAATAATAATAATGGATGTGCACAAGGTAAACCTCTGTTTCATAGTTTATGCGTTGGTTATTATGTTATATGTTGCCTTTGCAGTAACAGGTAGAGATAATCTTGTGACGAAAGATGTAACCCACTACTTCCCGGCTCCATCATATACCGATCCATGGAATCGACGCCCGACTCCATTTTGCAATCCTTGCCGCCAAGGTTGTTACCATTGCACGTCCGGTTGTTGCTATCGCTGACGAGGAACAAAACAAACATTAATCGAAGCAAACTGAGCTTCAAGGAAGGATAAGATGCACGCACGACATGCTACTACTACTTTGTCTTGCTTAATCAATATAGTAATCAGTTCTCCATATATTCGAATAATATATAGCTAAAATGATGTAAGTTCTTCTTAAATTATTATCTCGGAGTACTTTCGTGTGTTTTGGAATAATTAATGAATATGGATTTGTATTGGGTTTCCTAAGCTAGCTTTATATATATATATATATATATATATATATATATATATATATATATATATATATATGATGTGGTTCAAATGAGAACCAAGTCTTATTGTGAGAACCGTGAGAACCGCTATTTTTATTTGGGCGTAGTGCTTTGATTGATTGTGTTTGATGCTATTTTTAACTAGGATGAATTTTATTAAAAATAGCAACACAATTTTTGGTAGCACTTGTAAAAATGATAGCATCATCTAATATGAAAAATAGCATCATACACAATTAAAAATAGCATAAAAAATGATTCTCACACCAGGACTAGCTTTTATTTGAACCAACCCATATATATATATATATACGTATATATATGGTTGTGTCTTGTATGTTCTTGGAGCATCTTCACGTTTTTCTCCAATACGGACCTGTACAGAGACGATGACAAAGAAAGAAAAGAAGAGATTGGTTTGGAGTTCTTCCAGAGTGGGACCATGGAGGACGAGACACGAGATAAATTTTCCATATAAGAACTTGAAGAAGATGGGGTGATCTTGTAGTTTTTGGTCTATGAATTAAGAGACGTTGTTAGGTGCTCCATTTTTTTGTTTCCTATTGACGCCTTTTGATAGTCGAGGTTGAAATTGAGGCTTCGTAACCTCTCATTTCAGTCGAGCTACTTTGTCTCTCGAGGGTCGACAAAGTTGAGGAAGTGAGTGGCGGATATGCGTAGAAGAGAACCTGGCCTCATAGCTATGCCTGCTACTAGTCGAGCTACCTTCTTCACCCTCTCTGGTGAAAATGGTGCTCAATAAAAGAAATAAGAATACATCTTAAGATCGGATGATTCAAGGACTAAAAAAACCAAAATTTTAAACACATTAAGGGTAGTGTGGTAATTTTTCTACCCAACCAATATGTGGGCCCCATTCAATATCAACTAACCCTATACAATTTCCAACCCACGTACCCACTCACCCTCTGTCACGCACGACACACACTCTGCACACACATACCCACACACACCGCACACGCGCGCGCACACACACAGTATAACCCAACACGCCCGACCTCCACGCTCGCTCCGCCCTCCATCGCTGCAGACCAAAGATCTCCTTGCCGGCTTCTGGCTTCTCCGGCGGCCGTAGGTCAGCCGCTGCTCCAGCACTGTCGGTCCATCGGATTTCCGTCGTGGAGGCCGAGAGCTTCGTCTGTGATAGTTGTCTTCGAACCGTCCGTCGCCTATGTCTGCCGCTGCCGCAGTCATTGATGCACCTCGCGGTCGGCAGGGGGTCACACCTGTGTCGTTGGAGAGCTCCTCCGAACAAGGTTGACGTTTTGGTTCGTGATCGCGACGACCGCTGAACAAGGCTGAAAATTGAGCTTACGCCACCGCCGCGACATGCCCACTGCCGCTATCATTCGAGCTTGCACCTCTGCATGCGGCGGAGCAGGGTGGACGCAGCCCGATTCCAAGCATCGGGGTTGGATATGGGTTGTGGGGTATTCTCAAAAGACCTAGTTGTAATTTTAAATTTTTTTATTATATTTCAACTTAGTCTATAAGTCAACTATGTAATTTATGAAAAATATCTAAAAAATATTATTTTTATATTCTTTTATACATATATATTATGTATTTTCAACAAAAATAAATATAGCACTAGTTACTAGTAACGTGTATGCATTGCATAACATTAATATAAATTTCATTTTTAGTAAATTAATAATATACATTAAACTATTTATTATAGCGATTAATCAAAATTGTGATAGCTCTAACGTATATTAATGCACATTAACATTATGATAGTAATATTATAGTAAAAGAATAATTGTAAGCAATTACTAAAAATAGTAAAATAATTTGGGTGGGAAAATATTTTGATATTATTACTGAGTAGCGTGAATTAATATATTTATAGATGTGATAATGCAACTAGATTTTTAATTATTTTGTCTATCCGATTAAAAGTAGCATATTAATTAATGTTCAAAAGATGTATGAATATAGTTTGAAGGAATAAAATTTCTCCTTATATATAAATGCAAAGTTTTTCGAACTTTAAGTATTAATTTTTTTGCGAATTATTATGTATAAATATAAATGTCTATGTCTGGTGGTGATAAACAATAGCATATAAATGAATATTCAAAAGATGTATAAATATAGGTTGAAGGAATAATAAAATCGCTCTTTATATATATATGCAAAGTTTCTCGAATGTCACTTTTTTGTGGTGCAAATGATATCTATATCATAAATGCAGACTTTCTCGAACTAAAGGGTCAACTTATGATATAATGGTGCTTCACAGGGTGTTGTATGCCAATTTATTTATGATGTTTCAAAGTCAATTTATAAATAAACAATTCGTATGTAGCCCAATTGGTACCACAAAAATCTTTTTCATCCAAGGAGTGTTAACATTGTGCGTAATTAATTGCTCGAATGGCCTAAAATGAATCAGTGGGGTCAGAAGTATGTATTATTCCACTTGCTAGGTGGATAGAAAATTCGTGTTGGAAATTCGTTCATCTTGTTGTAATAAAAGTTACATGAAAAATGAGAAATTGTATGTATGTGAGAATCCTTAGATGGTGTGTTTAATGTTACATGTGGAAATGTCCAAATTCAATGTGAGGAAAACAACCGTGTTCGGTTTTGAGATGTGAGAATGAAACTCAAAGTTTCATTAATAGTTTCATTAGTTTTGTCTTAATGAAGGCATTAATGGAACACCTCTTCATTGAATGAATGCAAGCACATGAGCACTATAAATAGTGCATGCATGCTTAAGGGAAGAATACACGAAGTGAAAGAAAAGAAAAAGAACATATACATATATTCTCTTTTATCCTCCAAAGACTTAGAAACATTAAGGGTTCTTGGCGACTGAGATTTTGATCGAGGTGAGTATGTTAGATAGTGCAGTCTTCACACTTTGAGCCGTCTTATCTTGGGAGAAAAGGCGTAGTACTCGTTGCACAGTATCGGGGCGTCTGTTTCTTCAAGGCAAACAGATTTTCTGTGATTCGGCTATATGTGTTCTATGACAATATAGAACTGTCAGTTAAGTTTTTATTTTTATAATAAATTTATTTATTTACTAATAGAAATCTGGTTTCATCTCACGTTCCCGTGGTTGATGTTTGTGGTTTCTATTTACAAATTCTTAATACGTATACGTGTTGAAACTCGTTCTTAATCCGCCTGTTATAATTAATTAATTTTAATTCAACAATCTTGAAGAATCAGATTTTGTTATTAAAACGAGAATTTTCAAAAAGTGTTATACGTATTTGTTTTACTATTTTTTTTCTCAATTTATCATTATGTCAAGTGGTTCTGGCACCATATCAATTAATGCTATGTTGAATTCAAAAGTCGATTTATCCGGCTTACCGGAAAAATTTTCGGGGCAATTTTTCAAACGTTGGCAACAACGAATGAAAATTTGGCTTACGATGAAAGGACTTTTGACGATAATTCAGGTGGCTAGGCCTGAACCAACTGATAATGATCCCAAAACAGCTGAAATTGCTCAGTGGAACGAAAGAGATCAAATTGGTCGAGGAGCTATTTTGTCAGCTTTGTCAAATACGCTCTTTGATGTTTATTGTTCTGATTCGTACACTGCAAAGTCGTTGTGGGATGAGTTGGACAAGAAATATAATACTGAAGAGCAAGGTCTCGAAAAGTATTCTGTTTCTAAGTTCCTAAAATATCAGATGGCTGAAGGAAAGTCTGTATCTGAGCAGACACATGAATTGATCAACTTGGAACATTCCCTCGCTGATGCTGATATGAAACTCCCTGAAAAATTTTTGGTTATGTCAATTATTGATAAATTTCCAAAGTCTTGGGAAAGTTTTGGAATGTCATTGAAGCATCAAAAAGGGAAATTGACCTTGGATGATTTAATGATATCAATCAACATAGAAGAAGAACATCGAAAAGAAGTTCATAATATGCCATTTGAACCCAAGGCTAATATGATAATGGGAAAAAGAAAAGTGAACCATGCAAATGTCAAAATGGCAAATAAAGACAAGGCCAAGGCTAAAAATAAGAAACCCAAAGCAAACAAACCATGTTGGAACTGTGGACAGGTTGGACATTGGATTAAAGATTGTCCGACGAAGAAAGCTAAGGTCAAACCTGGACTAGCTGAACAACCTGTGGCGAATATGGTTGTTGGGGAACCTAGCAATGCTAGCGCTCCAGAGACAACTATTGACGGGTTTGTTTCTTTACAACCTGAGCTTTTGAATGTCTATGAACCGTTTGATTGGTTAATAGATACTGGAGCAAATGTGCACATTTGTGCTGATAAATTGCTTTTTGTGTCTTATCAGCCAATTAATGGAAAATCCGTAGCGATGGGAAACTCAAGTGCAGCCAAGGTGCTTGGGATAGGATGTGTGGACTTGAAATTTCCTTCAGGGCGCATTTTATCTTTGCAAAGGGTGCACCATGTCCCAACAATACGAAGAAATATTATTAGTGGTTCTATGTTGGTCCAAGAAGGTTATGAGCTTTCATTTAAATTAAATAAAGTTGTAATCCAACATTATAATTTATTTATTGGCAAGGGCTATTTGTCTGATGGTCTATTTAAAATTCGTGTTGAATATGCTGGTTCTGGTAATAAATTTGATTTTGCAGATTCTATTGTTATGAATGTTACAGAAAGTTCTTCTGTATGGCATAAACGTTTGGGTCATTTAAATTATGGTTCTATTAAGAGAATGATGAATCTTAATTTAATTCCAAAACACGATGTTGAACATAATCACAAATGTCAAGTATGTGTTGAAGCAAAACAAGTAAGAAAGCCTTATCACTCGATAGAAAGGCATTCTGAATTACTTGATTTAGTACACACTGATATTTGTGAGTTCAATGGAATTGTGACTAAAGACCTTAAAAGATACTTTATCACTTTTATAGATGATTATAGTAAGTATTGTTATGTTTATCTGATTAAACATAAGGATGAAGCACTTGAAAAATTTATTATCTTTAAAAATGAAGCTGAAACACAAACTGGTAAGAAACTTAAAAGGTTAAGATCAGACAGAGGTGGAGAATATGAATCTAACCCCTTTGGTGAATATTGTCGAAATTTTGGCATAATTCATGAAGAAACTCCTCCATATTCTCCTCAGTCTAATGGGGTTGCAGAACGGAAAAATAGAACATTTAAAGATATGATCAATAGTCTTTTGTTGAATTCTGGACTACCTAAATACATGTGGGGAGAGGCTTTGAATACGGCTTGCCATATTCTGAATAGAGTCCCTCTGAAACACAATGAAGTAACTCCATTTGAATCATGGAAAGGTCGAAAACCTAGCTTAAAGTACTTTCGTGTGTGGGGCTGTCTTGCAAAAGTTCTAGTGCCTGAGCACAAAAGGAAAAAGTTAGGACCTAAAACTATTGATGCGGTCTTTTTGGGCTATGTGGAAACTAGCTATGCTCTTAGATTTTTGGTTGTTAAATCAGAAATTGTTGGCATAGATGTAAACACAATTGTTGAACTCCGTGATGCTACATTCTTTGAGAATGTTTTTCCGATGAAAACGGGAATACCCCAAAATGATGTCTTGGATGCAGCCCTTACATCATCATCAATTCCTGAACATGTGGAAAAGATGACAAATGTGGGGGTTGATCCAAGTAGTTTGGATTCTTTACAAACAGAATTGGATAAACCCAGACGGAGCAAACGAGCTAAGATCGTTAAGGATTTTGGAAGTGATTTTATCACTTACAATATCGAGGACGAGCCAATAACTTTCAAAGATGCCATGACTTCATCAGAAGATAAGCATTGGAAAGTAGCTATCAAAAGTGAGATTGACTCTATTGTCTCTAATGGGACATGGGAGTTAGTTGAACTACCTCCGGGGTGTAATACAATTGGTTGTAAATGGATTTTCAAAAAGAAATTTAATTCTGATGGAACCGTTGATAAGTTTAAGGCCAGATTGGTTGCCAAAGGATTTAAACAGAAAGAGGGAATAGATTATTTTGATACCTATTCACCTGTTGCTCGTTTAACTACCATTCGTGTGCTCATAGCCTTGGCTTCTGTGTATAACCTTCATATTCATCAGATGGATGTAAAAACTGCTTTTTTACATGGAGATCTTGATGAAGAAATATACATGGATCAGCCTGAGGGATTTATAGCTCCCGGTAGCGAGCATAAAGTCTGCAAGCTTGTTAAATCTCTTTATGGTTTGAAACAAGCTCCTAAACAATGGCATGAAAAGTTTGATAAAACTATTTTATCATTCGGCTTTGTGATAAATGATAATGATAAGTGCATATACTTTAAGGTTAAAGGTGATAATTGTATAATCTTATGTCTATACGTAGATGATATTCTGTTAATAGGATCTGCTTATGAAATAATTGCAGAGACTAAATCATTTCTAAAGAGTAAATTTGAAATGAAGGATATGGGAGAGGCAAATGTAATTCTTGGCCTTAAGTTGATTCGTTCAACTAAAGGGATAGCCATTTCTCAATCTCATTATGTTGAGAAAATAATTGAGAAATATGGTTATAAAGATTGTAGAATTGCTAAAACTCCATATGATCCATCTGTGGCTCTTTTCAAAAATGAAAGTGGTGTTTCTGTGGCTCAATTGAGATATTCTCAAATTATTGGAAGCTTGCAATATTTAGCTAATGGCACGAGACCAGATATTTCATTTTCTGTGTCAAAGCTAGCTAGATATACAAGTTGTCCTAATAGAACTCATTGGGAAGCCTTGGATAGGGTACTTCGGTATCTTAAAGGCACAATATCACTGGCTATACACTATAGCAAGTTCCCTGGTGTACTTGAGGGATATAGTGATGCTAGCTGGATAGCTAAAAATTCTGGAACTAACGGATGTACAGGGTATGTGTTTACCTTGGGTGGGGGCGCTGTCTCCTGGAAGTCTACCAAACAGACTTTGGTAACACGGTCTACTTTTGAGGCTGAGTTATGTGCATTGGACACGACTGGAATGGAGTCGGAATGGTTGTATGGGTTGTTGATGCAACTACCCATTGTAAGTAAGCCTTTACCTCCGATACCTGTGCATTGTGATAGTCAAACCACAATTGCAAAAATAAGAAGTCAAAAGTTCAATCAGAAAACAAAGAGACACATCCAAGTTAGACTAAAGTCTATAAGGGAATTAGTGTCTGATAAGGTTATGGCCGTTGACTTTGTTAATTCTAAAGACAACTTGGCTGATCCTTTGACTAAAGGACTTGATCTATCCTTAGTCCAAAAGTCCAGGTTAGGGATGGGACTGAATAACCCATAAGAGATACATCTGCAGTAGCAACCCAACCTTCCAAGTGGAGATCCCGCAAGGAAGGTTCAATGTGGTATAAACAAGTTGTTGAATGTATCATTGTGCACCTAAAATTACAAGACTGATACTTTATATATAAAGTATGATGAGTTCTTTCCCTAGAATACCTGGAAGGTGCTGTTAACTGCAAGTATAGTAAGAGTTTATCTCTGAATGGGGTCGAGTTTTCTAAACAAGATGTAAGCAGTGCATCTTTGGAGATGCCCAACTAAATGAGTATAGTTGTTTGGCCGCGACTAGGGGAAAGGGTTATTTCCTTGAAGATACTCATGAAACAGGATCGTGACATATGGCCTTAATGTGTCAACCCTAAAGATCAAAACATAGCCTATAAGTTGTTGTTACTAATGAACGTCATTACACTCACGACATGAATTCAAGGCTTAGATCCATTCATTTCGGTGATGACAGAAGTATGATAACTTAGGTGGTGGTTCAAACCGGAAGGTACCATGACTGAAAGCAATTTATGATGACCCTGATAATTATTATCTAAGGATTTGTGGGGGATTGTTGTAATAAAAGTTACATGAAAAATGAGAAATTGTATGTATGTGAGAATCCTTAGATGGTGTATTTAATGTTACATGTGGAAATGTCCAAATTCAATGTGAGGAAAACAACCGTGTTCGGTTTTGAGATGTGAGAATGAAACTCAAAGTTTCATTAATAGTTTCATTAGTTTTGTCTTAATGAAGGCATTAATGGAACACCTCTTCATTGAATGAATGCAAGCACATGAGCACTATAAATAGTGCATGCATGCTTAAGGGAAGAATACACGAAGTGAAGGAAAAAAAAAAAGAACATATACATATATTCTCTTTTATCCTCCAAAGACTTAGAAACATTAAGGGTTCTTGGCGACTGAGATTTTGATCGAGGTGAGTATGTTAGATAGTGCAGTCTTCACACTTTGAGCCGTCTTATCCTGGGAGAAAAGGCGTAGTACTCGTTGCACAGTATCGGGGCGTCTGTTTCTTCAAGGCAAACAGATTTTCTGTGATTCGGCTATATGTGTTCTATGACAATATAGAACTGTCAGTTAAGTTTTTATTTTTATAATAAATTTATTTATTTACTAATAGAAATCTGGTTTCATCTCACGTTCCCGTGGTTGATGTTTGTGGTTTCTATTTACAAATTCTTAATACGTATACGTGTTGAAACTCGTTCTTAATCCGCCTGTTATAATTAATTAATTTTAATTCAACACATCTCTAGGCACTTAATTTCCCATATAACAACATATTGACTATAAGTGAAAAGTCTTTAGGGTGTATATAAATTTCTTCAAAAGTTCATTTTTTCCAAGTGATCAGCTAGCTACTAGCTAGCATCAAAATTTCCTCTACATTTCGCATCATAAACTCCAAAAATAATAATAATAATAATAATAATAATAATAATAATAATAATAATAATAATAATAATAATGGATTCGCGTAAGTCGAACCTCCGTTTCATAGTTTATGCGCTGACTATTGTGTTATATGCTGCCTTTGCAGTAACAAGCAGAGATAATCTTGTGACGAAAGATGACACCGCCTTGCCGCCACCAACATTCACCGATCCATGGAATCAAGTCCCGACTCCAGTTTGCAATCCTTGCCGCCCATATTATTGCTACAATTGCCAGTACGGTTGTTGTTCTCTTACCAAAGATGCCGACAAGGAACAAAACAAACATTAAACGAAGCAAACTTAGCTTCAAGGATGCACACATGAGATTCACACTAGCTCTACTACTACTTATGTCTTGCTTTATCAATATAGCAATCAGTTCTCCATATANAATAGATGAAATGATGTAAGTCTTCTTTTTATGAATTCATAAGTCTTCTTTTTATGAATTCATAAGTCTTCTTTTTATGAATTCATATGGATTTGTATTGGAGTCGAAATCATGTATAAAGTCTTATTTCTGTTAATATAGCATGACTTTTCGTTTTTTCCGCTCTATTTCGTTACCTTATGCATTAATCTAATAATTATATTTTTATTTATTTTATTACATAACAGTTATAACTACTAATTAATAATTATAAAGTCACATTAAATTATATTTAATTCTAAACTTTTTTTCAAATTATTTGTTTAAAATTATTGTTTTTTTTTAAGCTCCATAAGCAATATCTTTTTAAGTAAAATCAGTTAGTTATATTTTATGGCATAACCAAACCTCTAGCTAACATCAGGTCAAAATGGCATGTTAAAAAATATCGGATAAACAGTCACTTTCGTACATAATTGCACTAATGCATGTGCATATGATCGAATACTAGTTCAATGTAATAGACAAAAAGATGAAATTATGACTTGTATGCCATAGAAAATTGGGTTTGACTCAATTTTTACTGTTTTTTTATAGTTAAATATTTAATTCAGGTGGAACTAAATTGTGTAGAAAAATTCTATAATAAATATCAGTGGTAGATTTATTTTTCCAAAACTATTTTCGGTAGAAGAAATAAATAATTACAGTTAGTCATTAATTGACACGTAAAACGTTAGTTGTGGAATTCGAAGGTCAAGAAACTTATCCCACATTGGACTCTTAAATTATGATAATTCTCTTTATTATAATAAATAGAGTTGGAAATGTTACAACAACAACTAAAGATATGCACCAAGTATTGGTGTTGGAGTCTACTACACGCGCGACGGCGCGCCCGCCGACTTACTGGTCGACTTGGCAGCCATAAGTTTGAAGTCACAGAAGCCCAAGTAGTTAGCTCAGGTTAAAGAGGAAGAAGTCCGAGCACTTAAACTCGGGTGCCATAAATCAACTTAATAGATATTATTAGATCGAACTATCAGCTTGGGAATCGTAGTATTAATATGTAATATACTAATATGTGAACACGAAGGTGTTGTTATAAAAAAACATTCATTCAAGACAAGCCATTACACAACTCAAACTGGTACAAGGTACATCACCCTAACGGTCTACGAGGGGGATGAGGAGTTGTGCTCCTCGCGAGCAGCGGAGGCAGGCCCTCTATGTGACTATGTAACCGAGAAGGTTTGCAGCTCAAACCTTAACATTGTCAGGGTTAACCTCAATACCATCTTTGTGGCTATGTAACCGAGAAAGTTTGCTCTAACTCCAAAGGCGCACTTGTCGGGTTTAGCTTCATTTCAAACATTCTCAGAGTGTCAAATGTTTCCCTTAGGTCGGTTGGATGAGCTACGGTCCTCTTTCTCTTCACATGCATGTCATCTGTATAGACCTCAATGTTGCGCCTTATCCGTTCGCCGAACATTTTGTCCATCAACCTTTGGTAGGTTGCCCCATGTTTTTTCTGCCGAAAGGCATCACGACATACTTTAAGTTACTTTGCTGGTTAAGAAACTCACATTGCTTTAATTTCAGGGGCTAGTGAGATCTGATCATACCCCTATGATGCATCCATCATACTAAACAGCTCACAGCTAGCTGTCGAGTCTACCAATTTATCTATTCTTGACAAAGGATAGTGGTTCTTGGGACAAGACATGTTTAAGTCCCTAAAATTAATGCACATTCACCACTTGTCCAAGGTTTTTTTAACAATGACTGTATTGGACAACAATTCAGAAAATTGCATTTCTCTGACATGACCAGCTCGACAACTTGTCTAACCCCTCTTCAACAACTTTGTCTAACACCACTCCATGGTGTCTACGACATTGCTTCACCAGTTTCTTCGTTGGGTCGACATTGAGTCGATGCTCCATATATAGTTTCTGGGTCGTTAACTGATAACTCCTCTGTAGTAAAAGCGAAAACATCTTGGTACTCTTTGATTAGCTTGACCAGTTGTTTTCTTAGACTCTCATCTAGCTCCTTTTCTACCCTAGTGGATTGGTCCGTGGTTTTTCCAATTTGAATTTCCATTTTCTCCATGTGGCTCTAGGTCGCTGCTCTATTTTCTTTTGTCTCCTATCAAAGGTTGTTTTCCCTCATAAATCTCAGCTCGCTTGCTTGTGTGTGTCGCCATCTGATAACAAGCACGGGATAATTTCTAGTCACCCTTAGCTTCTCCAACTAGCTCCTCAACTAGGAATTTCATCTTCACATGATAGGTCAACCCCACGACCTAGAACGCATTAAGTGTCGGTCTTCCCAAAATTACGTTATAAGTTGAGTCCACGTTGACGACAAAAAATTTGACCATCTTCACTTTCCTCATGCTTTCCTTACCTAACACTACTAGTAACGTCACCTCCCCAGTGTGAGCAACCTCCGCCCCATTGAATCCGTAGAAGGCAGTGTTCACTTTCTTGAGCTCCACTAGGTCCATTTGCTTGAAACAAATATAGAAAATGACACCCATTAGGCTTCCCGTGTCGATGAAGACTCGCTGGAACTCATACACAACAACCTCACGGACACTACCAGCACATCATTGTGCGGCATCTCAGCCTCCTCCGCATCGGTTGGTCTAAAAATTCAACATAGGTCCCTTTTTTGTGACCTAATTTACCACAATTTTCCAGATCCTAGCGTATACCTTTCTCATTCTATTAGAGTCTCCTTCTGTTGGTCTACTCGAAATCATCTGGATAACTCCCTTCCTCGGTGGGAGATCGTCTTTCTCCATAGGTAAACCATGTCTTCTATTTCTTTCATATCGTTGACCTTACCCATGTTCTCTATCCTTGTAAATGAACTCCTTCATGTGTTTTTCTCTTATTAAGTGTTCAATTTCATCCTTTAAGTATTTTCAATCGTATGTGGTATGTCCATAATTCTTATGAAAACGGCAATATAGGTTACTCTTGGGTCAAGTAGGTCCATCTTTCATAGTTTTTTGCCAGGTCACCAAGCTTTCATGCACATCCTTTCCATCTCCTCCAATACCCTTGTCTGACTAGCTGACAATGGCGTGTATCTCTCATACCTCTGGCCATCTTTCCAAGGTCGTCCTTCCTACTTATTATGCCATCTTGGGTCCTTCCTATTACTCCTCGGACTATGTTTTTTTCCTTTTCTTTCCTCTCATACCGATAATATGGTCGGTTTTGCAACTTTTAAGAAATCAGCCTCCACTTTTAGCGCACCGTGCTAGTACCTCATCAAACGTCTGACTAGGTCGCTTGGGAAAAGAATTTATGCATAAGTCAGGCCTTAGTCCCTCGTTAGCCCTCCAGCTCTTATCTTCTGAGACGCGAAAGGTATATCTATGCAAGCTCTAGTGTAGCGAGCTACATAGTCCCTCAGCGACTCATTCTCTTTCTATTGCATTCCAATTAGGGTCAAGTAAGTCTTCTCACGTGCCTTTGCACTTGCGAATTGGTCAACGAAACTCGAGCTAAACATCTCAATATCATAGAGAACTTCTGGTAGTAGCAAGTGGAACCAATCCTATGTAGGTCCTCGTAACGTATCCAAGAAAACCCTACATCGCACTGAGTCATTATACCTATGTAACACTGCAATATTCTAAAAACTCTTGAAGTGCCTTGATGATCCGTGGACCCCGTACACCAGGTTAAGCTCCTTAAATCCTTGGGACAAGTCGACATAAAGGATCTCCTGCGAGAAAAGATGACCTCTAGTGCTAAACCCCCTTTTCCCTTTGACTTTTGTATGTAGGTCGCGTATTTGGGCTAATCGTTTCTCCAATGTGTTCTCTTTTGTTTGGTGCAAGTGAGTAGTTATCTTCATTGACGACTCCTCGTCATCTCTCTTCTTGTTCGTGTTTCCACGCTGCTCTGTCGAGTGTGTGTTCTGCATCTGGTCAACCCTCGCAGCTATAGTTTTTTAAAATCATTTAACTCAGCTCGAGTATGGTTGATCATCTAGTTGTCAACTCGAAGGTCATTATAATTATGTCTGGGGTGAGGCTTCTTTTTCAGACCTCTACATTCCCTCAACTTGATTTCCCGCACCCTGGGTCCTTCTTTACACTCATGCTCTTCTCCAGTAAGGGTCAATGATGGAACTTGACTGGTCCCTTTTCTGATTCAACACTTGGATCTTCACTGTCGGTGGATCATCTCCTCTGGACACGCACTTGGCGTCGCGTGGCTATTAAGTGATGTCAATCCCACCGTGGGGACTAAAGGCTTGGGGCTTAGGACCAAAGGAGGTCCCCTATCTGTTCAAGTTCCTCTAAACTTCATCAACAAGTTCCTTTGTACTGTCTCTCTATCAGCCATCTCAGGTGATCGGAATTTGTTGCGAGAGTTCTTCGTTCCTTTAAAAGGTCCCCACAGATGACCAAATGAAATGTTGGCGACCTGAATCTGAGGTGAATCGGATGTCGCAAAGCTCCGATCTTCCGGAAACGACTGATGATCAGTTTGATATATCTTATATGAAAAATTAGTAACAAACAAAAAAAATACTTCATAATTAGAATTGATGTTTTGTAATTATATTTTCAAAGTACAAGGATTTGATATTTCAAATTGAAAATATAAAAAAATCAACAAATAAAATTAGAAATACAAAAAGTTGTCTGGGCACTTTGCATTTATATAGATGAATTTTTTTTTTAGTTTAAGATTTTAAAATGTTCTACTTGTAGAAAATCATTAATGCAAAAACCAATTTTAGTTACAATCTATTTTAAGTTTTTGATATCCAAATTTAATAGTAATTTTTTTTCCGGCCCACTGTCCAACCTCTCCCATATTTTCTATTGATTAGCTCTATCAAGTATCAACACGTTCTCTCTCTATCAACCGCTTTATTTTGAAATTGAACTCTCTCTCTTATATGATTCTGTCCTCGTTTTTGTGGTTTTAATATGAATTTTATCTTACTTGTTTACCCAAATCAAGACAAAACCTGCAAGACTCTGACTTTCCCATTCGCCTCTCTCTGGATGCATCCACAAAATTTTCAAAATTTCTAAAAAAATTGACTTTACCCGGTTGTGATTTACCCCAAACGAACAAAACCCTTGTTGGGATTTTTCATGTCCAATCTTTTTTCTTCTGGGTTTTGGTATCAGGTTAATTGCTGGCTCCAGGTAATTTCTGTGGATGTATTTTTCAATTCCAATTTTTCTGGGAATAGTAGTTTGATGGGTTCTTTTTATTTTTCTTCAATTTCTTCCTTTTCCCAATTTTCTGTATTTTGATAATATTGGCGGTGTATTATGGATCTGCAATTTTGATTTAGCTGTAAGAATCCGTGTTTATGTTTGTCCTTAAAAGAAGCTGTTTTTCTTAAAATTCCCTCTAATGCTTTTATTCATGGAAATGTGCTTAGGTCAGTCTTTCAAAGTATCTTCAATGTGCTTGATATTGCTGATAGTCTCTGGTTACATGCCAAAGTGTAGAACTTGTTTATGTTGAAACGAAAAATATTTTCTTTTAAATACCATGCTGTTGTTTTGTTGTAAAAAAATGAATTGCCCTTTGATGTCTTCACCATATTTCTACTCTTGGGGGAGTGATTTTAATTATCTGCTCTGGTGATAACTGATAAATGTGTGCTGAGATCTGTTTGGCACTAATTTACTGGAGAGCTAGTATATTCTTAGGGAGTACTTAGTACTTACTGATAATTTATTCCTGGTTTGCAAGAGCAAATAGTAGCGTGATACTTTATTTATTCTATTTTATGTTTCCAAATTGAAAAATTGGCACACCCATTTTCGATTTTGGTAGAATGTCAATTCTCAATATAATAATCATGAAATGGTGTTACAATTGTTTTGCTGCATTGAGTATGCAAGCATTGGATGGAAGAGGATTTTTGGGTCTATTAGTTTTATTTTCCTGTAATGAAAATTATTATTAGAAGTTTAATTCTAATGGAAAATTGTAGAGTTGTAAGACAGGGCTTTTGGCGGTATTACAATTGTTAACTGCTGGGTTTTAGTCCATAAGTAATAAAATATATTTTGTACTTTAATGTGCTTAGGTAGTACTCCCTCCTATTCATAATAAGTGTCGTTTTGGGAAGTTGCACACTACTACAACAACAACATACCCAGTATATTCCCAACAAGTTGGGGTCTGGGGGTCACGCAGACCTTACCCTTGTAATTATACAAGGAGGCTGTTTCCGTAGCGACTCAAGGTGCATTGCGCCGTTTGATTTTTTTTTTTTTTCTAGAAACTTCTTTTTTTTTTTTTCTTCTAGAAACTTCAACTAATAGAAGAAGCACTAGAATTTAATTAAGCCATTTTGATCTAGTCCATTATTAGCACTATGCCAGGAGAATTGTCAACAATGACTCTTCCAGCTCCATTTGCAATGGACAAAGGGAAGTTGCACACTAATTAAGAATAATTTTTTTGCCAATAATATCCCCTCATTAATAACCCCTCTCATTAATGAAGATAGAGATGGATGTTTTAAAAAAAAAGATGAAGAGAATATGAAAAGATGTAGTGTATTTATTAACTAAATGAGGGTAATAATGGAAAAATATGTACAAAAGATCCAAAACGACATTTATTTTGGTTAATAGTTGATAAAGTCAAAATGACATTTAAAAAGAATAGGAGATAGTAGTAAGTTTTGGAGTGGGTAGAGTCATTTGAGGATCAGATGTTACAAAGCATATTTTGTATTTAATCCTGGATTTCTTACAAGGAATCTTGAAGAAAGTTGATGGCTTGATGCTTAGTTTTCTTGATGGATCCTTTTTGTTCTGCATTGTATGAACTTTCTCAGCTTTTTAGATTGTAGTCCGACATGTTATCCCAGTTACCCTTGCTTTTCTTTTCCTTTTCAGGAAATGCAATCCCTGATGTTTTTTATTTCTTTACACTTGGTTTGTTACTGAACATTTGGGCCTACTTTCGTTATTCTTATTTCCATAACACCATTATGTTAGATTCACATCACTATAATGCAATGTTCGTGTTAGATTAATTTACGTTTTTTTTTTATATATTGTTTTTTATTTGGAAATTGGCAGGTGTAAGTACTGTTGTGCACGCCTAATGACAAGTGGGAATCCATATTTTGATGATTTGAGAATGAAACCAGAAGTCATTAATCCACCTGAAAATGAAGACACTTTGGATGTTGGAGAACATGTCGACAGCCCTTCTGAAAGTGCTGTAAAACCTAATGTGGCTATCTCAAGTAACGTCCGTGATCTTCTCGAGTGCCCAGTTTGCTTGAACGCTATGTATCCCCCAATTCATCAGGTACATTTATCATGCATCTCGATCTACAATGTGTCTGCATTTGTTTTATTGAATCTTGATTTACACTTTATTAGATACAATTAAGGAATTCAGTTGTTTGGTTCTTTGATTTTGACCCTGGGAATCCTGGATTACAATTTCAATGAATAGAATATGAATTTCTGTCATTTCCCCTTTTTGTTTCGAACTTCTTGCCTTGCTAAGGATGACAATGATAAGTCAAATTCAACTCCTATAAGTTTCTCAATGTGCCTTCAGACCTCTCAAAGTACTAAAATGTAGAAAACTGCTTACAATATGAGACCTTTTTTCAGTCAAACGGATGCGTGACAAATATGCGTTGGAATATATGATATTGGCATCATGTGTTCTGACTGTGGTGAAGCATAAGTTTATCTGTTGGCTGTTGGTAACAGTGAAATGAATTGATAATTGATTAATTTCTGCTGGATTTTGTCTCCTCTATTTGAGTACTTGAAATAACTTTCTCATTTACAGTAAAATTTTTTGTTTTTCGCCTTGCCATTGCCCCTCTTATCCTCATATTTTACTTTTATCGTCTCAGTTATTTCTTCTGTCATGCTTAATCGATATTCTCGGTTTTGTTATTGCAGTGTTCGAACGGTCACACATTATGCTCAGGCTGCAAGCCCAGAGTTCACAACCGATGCCCAACGTGCAGGCACGAGCTTGGCAACATTCGATGCTTGGCACTGGAGAAAGTAGCTGCATCCCTTGAGCTCCCTTGCAAATATCAGGATTTTGGGTGTATTGGAATCTTCCCTTACTATAGCAAACTCAAGCATGAGTCTCAGTGCACCTTTAGGCCTTACAACTGCCCTTACGCGGGGTCCGAGTGCTCGGTTGTGGGTGACATCCCGTTTCTTGTGAGCCACTTGAAAGATGACCATAAAGTCGATATGCATAGTGGTAGCACATTCAACCATAGATATGTCAAATCGAATCCGCACGAGGTTGAGAATGCCACGTGGATGCTTACGGTATAGCAATTCTTGTTCTTGTTTGTTGTTCGTATTTCCAATATAGTATAATATTCTTTTATGGGATGTCACAAATCAATAATCCAATTTCTGTCACTACTAAAAAATTGTCAAATTCAAACGGAAAATCCTACGGTAATATATTTCAATGGAAATTTCAACGGATATTCCAATCGTATAGCTTCCTTTCGTTGGAATGATTCCAACGGAAATTGCAACGAAAATATTCCGCAGGAATGAGTTTTTCATTGGAATTCTAGATGGAATTTGATGATTCTAATGACTATTTTTCCAACGGTTTTTTACCATAGCAATTTCCGTTGGAATATGCAATTTCTGTTGGAATTTTTATTTCCACACATATTTCAACTGTTGGAATTGACAAAATCCAACAAAAAATATAATAGAAAACTCATTCCAAAGGAATATTTTGTTGGAATTTTCGTTGGAATCCATTGGAAAATTCCAATGTAATATTAACATTGGAATATCTATTGAAATTGCAAACTCCATTTAAATATATTTCCGTTAGAATTTCTCGTTGGAAGCTCAATATTTTCCTGTAGTGTGTATTATTATTATTTTTTTTAAAAAAAATTTATGTACTTGTCTACCACTAAAGCATCTTGGAAATACTTTTGTGGTGTTATGGTAAAACATTCAGTACTCGCAATTCAGAAGATAAAAACAAAACAGGTTTTGACGATTCTTGTTCAACACACTGGTTGATTGCCTCTTTGAAAACAGGTTTTCAGTTGCTTTGGGCAGTACTTCTGCCTGCATTTCGAGGCATTTCAGTTAGGGATGGCCCCCGTTTACATAGCCTTCTTACGTTTCATGGGCAATGACAACGAGGCGAAAAATTACAGCTATAGCCTCGAGGTCGGGAGCAATGGGAGGAAGATGACGTGGCAAGGTGTGCCCAGAAGCATTAGGGACAGCCACCGAAAGGTCCGCGACAGTTTTGACGGGCTCATCATTCAACGCAACATGGCTCTCTTTTTCTCGGGTGGCGATAGGAAAGAATTGAAACTCAGGGTCACTGGTCGGATTTGGAAGGAGCAATAGTGGGAATGATTTATGGGGGCACAATCAATCCATAACNTTTTTTTTTTATTTAGTTGTAGAATTAGGTTATTTATGTTCTTTGGGGCACGATGGTTTCGTCTAGCCATGTGTTTCTCGCACGAGCAATCTCTCCTTGCTCGACCCATTGCATGAACTACATGGTTAGGGGGATTCGACTGCGTGCCGTGAATTAGGATGTTGTATTTGTTGATTTGGAATCTTTATAGTCCATGTTGTATGTTTGTGCTTGCATAAACTTGTTAAGTACTTTGGCCACAAAAAAAGATACCAGGAATATGGGCTATAAGAGATTGTGTTACATTATTGGATATGAGTTATTTTGGTTTTTGTTGGATTTGTTGGATAACTCGTCAAGTTTGAAAAAGTTTATTGAGTTAGGTTTGATTGAGATATTGAGTTTGTATTAAAGTAATATTTCAAATCTAACAGTTAAAGTTGATTTTATGATAAAGTAAAGAGAAGTGATTGAAAGTCAGGTTTTGAAGAGGTTTGAAAATACAAACCTGTAAGGTTTCTTATTAGAAACAAAAGATTTAAGGTTTGTATTTACAAACCAGGTTTGTGTTTTCAAACCTCAACCAAATCGCATGCGGGGCCCAAATAAAGTGTAAAAGTATAGTTTTATAGTAAATAAATATAGTTTTATGGTAAATGTTTATTTAATATATAAAAAGTATGATATTAAAATACAGTAGGTATGATATTACAATACATGTAGGACCCATTAAAATTATTTGAAGTTTTTGATTATAGGAGCAAGAATGAAGTTTTGAGTTATGTATCTATCTCCTCTCGGTCTCAAGATGAACAATAAACTCCCATAAGCTCCTAAGATTCTAGTTCCCTCGCAAGATTCTATCAACCTCTCGGTCTGTTTAATCTCTTACGTTATGAATTTCCCAATTCTAGCAATCAACTATCTCCTCTCGGTCTCAAGTCAATTACAAATATGCATAAATACGGGCCCTTATATTCACACAATTAATAAAAGCACAAGAAATTGATAAACGAATGATAAACCGGAATGAATATTAGAAGAAGACATTGAGAATAAAAAAAAGAAGGTTTGTGGAGGTTTACTATTAGGGATGCATAAGTAGTTTAAATATGTGACTGGATGAAGTTAATTAACATAAATGTGATACGTAAGAATGTTTTGATAATATTGATGAAGGTTGAGTCTGAATTATATTTAAATTAGATTTTGAACTTAAAAAATTATCTTAGTCTGTATCCAATCAGGACCTCAATAGTGGTTATCTTATCAAATTTCGTGCTGACCTACGGACTTGGTGTTTAGGCCGGTTAGGCCAAAAAATATCTATCTGGTTTGTCAAGGGTATCTGGGTATGATGTGATCGGGTGGGATTTAACTTAATAATGCAGCAATGCGGAATTTTGACAGCTCTATTAATATGAGCTACTTGTATAATATTTCTCAAGAAGATCCTGTAATTCATAATTACAGGAGGCGAATCTCTATAATTGCTATTAATTTCGTTATTACAACACAAAATGAAAACTCAAATAAAAACTCCGATAAAGGAGAGCAGTGGAGGTTGACCGGGTGGTAATGGGGTCCTGATTTTGATGATGATGATGCAACATTACTACTGGAAGTAACTTCTGGTAATGGTTAGGGTATTCTAGGTCCTGAAAAAAGAAAAAGAAGAAGAAATATAACAAGAGAAAGGAGAATGTAAGAAGATAATAATAGAAGCATATCTTTTTGGAATATGGAATTGAAAAGGATTAATGAAACCTATTGATGACTTGAACTAAGACGTGGAAGATGTCAGAAAGATGCACACAAATGGGTAAGTAAAAGCAAGTTATCTTCTTCCCTTAAAAATAGTTTCCAGACTTCTGAAATAACTCAATCATAAATATCAAATAACTTCACTGATTTTTGGGAAAACTTTTTTTTTCGAGAAAACGCAGAGGACGAAAAAAAATGCACTAAAAATTACTAAGTGGTGCTCTTCCTTGCAAAGATATCTAACAAGAGCTATTTTAAGGTAAAAATTCAATATCCAGATGGCAACAATCAGACTACACAAATGAAGAAAATGTAAGTTTGCAGTCTACCTAAGAATTACAGAAACAATATACAGCTGCGTCTGCAGTCTACCAAAATAAACATGCCCGTTGATTTCTTTTTCAATATAAGCAACAGAAGAGCAAGTTTTATGATGTACGTACTAATGTCGAAAAATATAAATCCTCTGGCCTTCCAGCCCTTATCCCCTCATACTAAAGAGCATGAATTCAATCACAAACTGTAAGCTGCAAGTTTTTCTCTCTCATTCAAAATTTGCCTTTTCATGAAACTTTTTTATCACCAATCATCAGTGTGACCTATAGGCAAAGTTCAATTAGCTGACACACAATATGAATACTCAAAGAAAATATAAGAACAAGCGCCCCACAAGCCCCTACATCTGCAAGACATAAATGACAGCAAAGTTTAATCATATAGAGATTATGGGAGTCTTCTCTTTCTTTCTTTTTTATTTCGGAGAGTGTCGAAAATCATTCTTTTCTGGTATCTGCAAAAACTACATATAAGGCCATTTAATGGAAGAACAAACCGAACTTACTCCTAAATAGATGTTTTCCAAGCTACCCTTCGGCATGAACTCATACACCAAAAGCCTGATGGTCATCCTCCAAGCAGTAACCGATTAACTTCACGAGATTCGGATGACTAATTTGCCCCAGGTAGTTGATCTCAGCCTGACAACACAACCCAAACCACAGCACGTAACTAGAAAGTATAACTTATACATCGAAACAAGAACTACACCAATAAAATATCTAACAAACTACACAAAAGTATCCACATGATATCCCAATCATTCTAACTACAAGCATTCAATGACCACAACAAATTAAATCTCCATTTTTTTTAGTAGAATTCATAAAATTCGAAATTTTTACGTACCCAACCTTTCCTTGTGCCCCTGCCACCTGTCCTGTTTCAGCCTCTTGACGGCCACAACCATACCCGAGTCGGGCCGTGATACCGCCAGTGTGCTCTCGTCAACCCAACCTTTGTAAACCGAGCCAAACCTCCCTCTCCTAAGACGCTGTCCGGCCGGAAGTTTTTGGTGGCTGCCATACGATCACTAAAGTTGAAGCTTTTAAAGTTTTTGGCGACTGCTGGCGGCGATCGAGTCTCTATCCAGCAACACACACACACACACATATATATATACCTTAGTATAAGTCGGAATACGAAATGTAGCACGGTTTGGAATTTGATAACCATCAAAGCGGGTGCTGCCCTTCAGAGTACACCCCGATTCATCAAACGGAACATAAATCTCTTTCAAGAACGGCTCCGAGTAGCCTAATAAAAAGATTTAAACATTATTAAACAAACATAGAAACAGATTATTAAACATTACTAAAGAAACTTAAAGTCCATTTGTGATGTTAAACAAACAAAGGAAAGTATACCGTCAATTTTGTAGAGGTCCACGGCCGCATGAAAAGGAAGTTGAAAATCAAATTTCTTGATGCTAGAATCTAGAGTGCATGAATCCATCTAGGCCCAGAGAACAAAACAGGTCGACAGGAAGCGTGAAAAAGGAATTCAAGGCCAGTTTTGTGTGGACACCATGAGTGGCATGCTGCAAAAACGAGAACCTCCGGTTCGTTTTAGTGTCCAAAGTCGAGTCACTATCAGACCCATATACAGGTCGACAGGAAGTGTGAAAAAGGAATTCAAGTCCAGTTTTGTGCGGACACCATGAGTGGCATGCTGCGAAAACCAGAACCTCCAGTTCATTTTAGTGTCCAAAGTCGAGTCACTATCAGACCCATATACACTATACACTGGCCCAATATGTAGACAACTGTTGTTGGTCAACATCAGCTTCCTCAATATCACTCGTAAATATCTTCAGTTCCTCAATGGTTGCACCATAGTCTCGCAAGTGTTCGGGTAAAAGTTCTGTAACCGAACGGAAACTGTGAATCCCGAACTTACTTGGGAACTCCTTTTGGGGAACCCAATTAGATTTTTTGAGACTTCAAATCACGGATAAAATGGTATCCAGTGAAGAACTAATATCTAGTATGCTGGATGACTGAAGGTGATCACTCTCTTCGGTTGGTTTTGGCGAGGAGGCTCATAGGTCGGCGGCAATGCTGGCTTCCATCTCAAAACGAGGCCTGACGGAGTGTCGGGCTCCTCCTCTATCAAGTCTCGGAGGTCCCCATTCTCCGGGAAAAGAGGAAGCGGCACCCTGGTGTTCGGTGTTCGGCTTTCGCTGGAGATCCGAATATAGAAGTGGTGGAGTTTTTGGGGCCATCAGATCCCTGTAGTTCTCCAGGAAAAGAGGAACCCCGGCGTTTGGCTCGTTCCAATAGAGAATCGATGACAGAATATGCAGATTTTTTGTTGTCGTTTCCCCATTCCTCAGCTGAGCGTTCGGATCCGGCACTACCAGCTTTGGATCGCTCGGAGCACTACCAACTTCTGTGGATCGCTTGCAACCGGCACTACCTCGCTCGGAACCGGCACTACCTCGCTTGGATCCGGCAACTTCTGTGGATCACTTGAATCCGAATCGTACGCAGTGCACAACAATCGCGACGGTCTCAAATTAAGGCCGGGTAGCAATTTCGGTAGCCGCCGCCGTAACATTTTGCCAATTAGTTCAAGCCTCTTTAACCGGACTTGGTCCTTTTCGATCCTTTAGAGTGTGTTAGCCCTTTTTTATCCTTTAGAAATCGGAATATTACAAAAACAAATAGACCCAAAATATAAAAAAGGGCTAACACACTCTAAAGGATAAAAAGGGCCAAGTCCGGTTAAGGAGGCTTGAACTAATCGGCAAATTTTACGGCGGCGGCTATCGAAATTGCAATCAGCATTAATTCAAGATCGTCGCAATTGTTGTGCACTGCGTACTAATTCACTTTTTATGCGGACCGGTGACTGGCAAGGAGAGGCGGGGAGCTAAATCTTCATGTGTTAAGCATGGCCTTTTGGCAACTCCCCTAGTGGCTAAATTCCTACGCCCTCGGGCTGAACTGCTGACTGACGAAATGGTCTTCGTCTTCCTCTAGTACCGTTGGATGGATCGACACATCGCCTAAAGCCCTCCGGAAGTTCGTTCGTCGCAATTGTTGTGCACTGCGTACAATTCGGATCAAGTGATCCACAGAAGCTGCCGGATCCGAGCGAGTGAGTGTCGGTTGCAAGCGATCCACAGAAGTTGGTAGCGCCAAATTCGAGTGATCCAAAGCTGGTAGTGTCGAATCCCAACCATCAACTGAGGAAGGGGAAAGAACAACAAAAATCCGCATATTCTGTCATCAATTCTCCAACGCCAGGCTTCCTCTTTTCCCAGAGAACTACAGGGATCCGACGGCCCCAAAAACTCCACCACTTTAATCTTCAGATCTCCAGCGAAAGTCGAACACCAGGGTGCCGAAACTCCACCACTTTAATCTTCAGATCTCCAGCGACAGTCGAACACCAGGGTGCCGCTTCCTCTTTTCCTAGAGAATGGGGACCTCCGAGACCTAATAGAGGATGAGCCCGACACTCCGTCAGGCCTCGTTTGGAGACGGAGGCCAGCATTGCCGCCGACCTATAAGCCTCCTCGCCAAAACCAAAGAAACCAACCGAAGAGAGTGATCACCTATATTAAGGATACCATTTTATCCGTGGTTTGAAGTCTCTAAAAAATCTAATTGGGTTCCCCGAAAACAGTTCCCATGTAAATTCGGGATTCATAGTTTCCGTTCGGTCACAGAACCTTTACCCGAATACTTGCGAAACGTTGACTTGCGCGATGGTGCAACCATTGAGGAACTGAAGATATTTACGAGTGATATTGAGGAAGCTGATGTTGACCTACAGCGATTGGCTACATATTGGACCAGGGTCTGATAGTGACTCGACTTTGGACACTAAAATGAACCGAAGGTTCTGGTTTTCGCAGCATGCAAATATTGTGGGAAATTTTGCCCTTAATTTGGTTCCCATGCAAGCTCACAAACTTGTTAAATTCTTGTGTGATGGGCCCAATAGTTTTTTAATTAACAATTGAATTAGTGGGAACACACGTGCTACAAAAAAAAAAAAAAAATTACCAATGTACAATATTCCTTGAGCAAAAGAATTTTACCCATGTACTATATTCTTTTACCCAATTGCATAAGTTCATGTTATTTGTCCTGTAGCTTATATTGTTAGTTGTGGGTGTAAGGTCAAGATTATCTTACTATTGTACTATTAAGATTGTCCTGTAAGCTTATATTGTGTAGACTGTGATATCATCATGAAGCACATGGTAGGATTTTTGGTTGGTTTTTCCAGACTTTATGGTGTCTCGTGAGTTATATTGTGATTATAATGTGTGTTTTTACAGTTTTGTTCATTTAGCTTGAATCTTGACAAAATTACCAATGTAGAATTGTTGGAAAGGAACAAAATTATCTTGAAAAGATCAAAGAAATTGCTTAGCTATTTTAGGGTTCTAAGCCAAGAGAGGAAAAAGTGAAAATAACTTTTATTACTCTCAACAATGAGTTTTCACAAATATATACCAACACAGTTGTGATCTAACCGAGGACTCAACAGATAAGAATAAAGGTACAAAGCTAAACAATGTGAAGCGATTTTTGTAAGAGCTGTGAAGAAGTTCAACTGAATTGATTGCAACTATTGCCATAGTTTTGTCAAAATAAATTCAATCTATATCATTTGGCTTTACAATCATAGATGTTTTAGCCTATATCCCAAATAATTAAAAATATAAAATGAATACGCATTATCATTCTATCTCATTTTATAAATCATGTTTGAACTTATCACTTTAAATTAATATTAGTTCTACCGTAGCACCAATATAATTATTATACAAGGATGTTTATTGAAGGTTTTATACTTAAAAATTTTTAACATAGAAGTATTTATTTAAATGATAAGATAAACTTAAAATTTTTTATTTAAAATAAATTTCATTACATGCATGTAAGATTTGTTGGTTCTACATTATAATAATATCTACAATTTATTTCATGTAATAGGAATGATAAAAAATTTAATTAATAATAAATAAATTAATCTAAAAACAACCAAATTAGTGAAACTATATCTAGCAATTCTGCTCGTGTAAGTAAGTGGGGTAACACTTTTCATCTACCTAAGTTTTAAGTTTCTAAAATTCTCGGTCCTATAAAATTTCATTTCTTGCATTCCAAATCCTAAATGTTTTCAGTTGGTTCAATTTCGACAAAAATATTAGTTTTTAACATATGATTTAATCACAACATTCCCTTAAATGCCAAAAGCCCAACGACAGTGAAAGTTGCAAGAGTTGAAGGACTAAGACTGGCAATTCCCAATAGTAACAAGACTAAAATTGCAACTTAAGCCTTCATTCCTCACTTGCAATTAAAAGGTGTTTAATATTTGGGACTAACAAGTCATAAAATGAATATCCAAGGGCTTCTGCCAAAACCTTCCAATGGTTGTTTTTCCCTATCCCATCATACCTGCAAAATTACAATGTCGTTGCCCCCCATACTAAAGAGCATGAATTCTCGCCTTCCAGCCGTTGTCCCTCACAGATAGAGAGAGAATATCGCAGCAGTAGGAGAGGGAGATAGATCGGGATTTTTTTCACTCACACATAGAGAGAGAATATCGCAGCAGTAGGATAGAAGGAGAGATATTAGGTTAGGGCAAATGTGAGGAGAGTGAATATATATAGGGTCAAGATGGATGGATGGATGGATGGATGGGATTTAATTCCAATTATGTGTGTGTAAGTGTCAGGCCCAGTTGGTATTGGGTCGGGGCTTCCTTGGACCTGAGATAGAGATTTGATTTGGGCCAACATTCATTTTGGTGATTACATTGGGTTCACAATTTTTTCATAATCCAGAAGTACTCTATCTAATGGATATGATTAATATATGCTCTGGTAGTTTGTGCTTTTGTGCCAATTTTTTCTTAGTGATCATGGCCAAGGCCTCTAATTTCTTTTATTTTATTTGCTTTGATAGGACGATGGGCTCCTACCTCAATATTCTCTCTTTCAGGGAGCCATGCGAACGATGGACAGTTGATTGTTGGTCGTAATGGTGTCAGACGCTTACAGTTGGGTAAACATTGGCAGTAACTTGCTGCAATACCTCATAATCCCTTTGCTATGCCTGATAGCTCATACTGTGAGTTGAGCGATCCATCACATGCATCCAAGGGAGCCCTCCATCTTTAAGCTGCCCATGTTCATAAGAACCTTTAATATTATTTAAACATGATAAAATACAATTTAATATTAATTGTTCACCTTTTTTATTTTAATAATACAGAACTATCTAATGTTTNCACATTTTTTTCCCGGTACAATGGAAGAGGCTAAACGCCTAATGAGATAAACTGCATACGATTCGTGGATAGGCCACGCCAATGAGATCATATTGTAGCCATTGACGAACACCCTCAGACAGATCATTGAAGAACTAGTACCCTAAAGGTCCTTCCGCAGCAAACGAAACCAGATAATCGGCCGCATGATTCGCTTCACGGAATACGTACTTCACCTTGACCTCCAACGATCGACTTAAGAGTTCCTTGATACCCGACACTTGGCCTGTATGCACACCCGAGACATCATCAACAGACGTAGCGAAACCCACGGCACTCTCGTTGTCGACCTCTGCTTCTACGTGCCTATGCCCCAACTCCCATGCCAAAGAGAAGCTCCGAAATAAGCCCCATAATTCCGCCACCATGATCGAGCAAACTCCTATATTCATTGTGAAACCCCCAAGCAAATGTCCTTGTTCATCCCGGATCAGGCCCCCGCACGCCCCATTCTCGACGACAGATTAAAGGAGCCATCCAAATTTATTTTAACCCATCCCGACAGAGGTTTCTCCCAACATATCCATCGCGATGTTCTCATGCGGCCCGTCCCAAGCTTGTCGTCACCTTCAATCACCCTCGCCTTCCCCTCAATATATATGGTAATCTCGTGTAAAAGGTTCTCGTTCCGCCATCTCCATAATTTCCACACAACCACCCCAAAAGTACAGGTATCACCCCCTATACTCGACGGGTGCACAAGATTCGAAAATAACCATTGCTCTAAATTTGAGGAGAAGAACTCATTATGGGTTGTACCAGGCAACACACGTCTCCAAATTTCGGCAGCCAGAACTATCAAATGTTTGATTATTATACTTGTATGATTGAAAATAAGAGCTTGTTCTTGTTCTTGTTCAAATCCCACCTTCTGTCCAGCCAAGTGAATAAAGTGACATTTATGCTTTTGTTGTCATGTATTTGGAAAAAATAAGAGATTTCATGGTGTTACATAAACTTATGTTGTAAATTCGAATAAGGAAATATCACCAAATGTGTAGGTCCATTTTCGAGTAAATGTAGTTTTCTGCCTATATGCTTAGGTTGATGTTGCTATTGACACTTGATAAATTAATATCCAATCAGCATTTGCCTCGTCAGCATGACCAATACACCTCCTCCTTGCATGAAGACAAACAACATGCTGCAGCTCGTGAGAAACTTAGTACACAAGGTACAAAGGCCAGCTGCAATGGCATAACGGCTCTCTCACTCCAGCCTTCATCCATGCAGCCACGTGGACGGCTCAGATTAGCCGCAGCTAATGAAGAGAAGAAGGATCTAGATCCTTAGCCGTCATCTAGGTTTTATTCTCAGTGATTATATATATGTGTGGAATGAATGCCCCAAATGATTAAGCAATAATATGAAAAAGAAAACAGAGAAGAAAAGTTCATGAGCAACATGTTTTTGATGAGCTCGTTTTTCATTTTTATCACAAATTCCAACATGGTATCAGAGCATGGTTGAGGCCATGTCTCTGATATCCCCTCTCCTCTTCCCTTACCTCACCTTTTTATCTTGAATCTTTTCTACAATGACAGAGTCCCATCAATCCTTTGTTTCAGGAGCCAATCCAAACTCCTCGACACCTAGCCTTGTCTTCCCTCAAAGTCAGCTCATTTCAACCAAACTCGACCAAAACAACTATCTCATATGGAGGCAGCAGATCCTCACTACCATCAAAGGATATGGCCTAGAGTCCTTTATCAGTTCACAGACTGCTGCTCCACCAAAATTCTTGGAAGGAGAAATCTCCATAAATCCAGATTTCACCTCATGGGAAAGACAGGATTCTCTCCTTGCTTCATGGATGTTGTGCTCACTTTCAGAAGGGATCCTTGTTCTTATGGTGGGGTTAAACAGCTCCAGAGACATTTGGGAGGCCTTGGAAAGAAACTTTGCTAGCCAATCCAAGGCTAAGATCATGCAGTACAAGATGCAGCTGCAAAATTTCAAAAAGGGAAATCTTTCTATGACTGAGTATTTGAGAAAGATAAAATCCATGTTTGACATGTTGGCCTCTGCAAATGAGCACATCTCTGAAAGCAACAAGGTTATGCATGTTCTTGGAGGCTTAGGATCAGAGTATGACTCGGTTGTTGTTACTGTGACTTCAAGACCTGAAACCTTCTCCATGATAGATCTGCAAGCCCTGCTGTTGAGTTATGAATCAAGGCTAGAGTCTTACAATCCTAGCAATGTGAGCCTTGATGGATCTGCACCTTCCTTGAATACAGTCTCTCAGCAGAACCATAACCAAAGGAAAGGTTTTCCTAACAGCTTCAACCAAACAGACAACAGGAGTAGAGGAGGTTACAATAATTATAGAGGAAGAGGCTCAAGGGGAAACTTCAGAGGCAGAAATGGCCGAGGTGGTCAACAAATCAGTTGTCAAATTTGCCAAAAGCCTGGTCATGGTGCAAACAAATGCTGGTACAGATTTGATTCCAACTATGCACCACAGAACAACCAAAATGCCCAAACCAACAAACCACCAAACCTTAATGTTGCTCAAGTGGGAGGATATCCTGCTTCTGAAATTGATCAAGAGAACACCTTATGGTTTCCAGACTCTGGTGCAAGCAATCATATCACAAATGACTTTGGAAACTTCAACATCTCCAATGAGTACTCAGGACCACACAAGCTTCAGCTAGGTAATGGAACAGGTATAAACATTTTGCATAATGGTAACTCCTTTTTAAAATCACCATTACAGTCAAGAGTTTTTGTCTTAAATAACCTTTTTCATGTTCCAAATATTACAAAGAACCTTTTAAGTGTGTCTCAATTTGCCCTGGACAACAAAGTGATTTTTGAATTCCATTCTGATTCTTGTTTTGTTAAGGATCAAGTATCTCAGGAAGTTCTTCTCAAAGGGAGAGTTAAGGATGGTCTTTATCAGTTCAATCTCAGGAATTTCAAGCCATCAGTACCCACTTCCCATGATGGTTCAGTTTATGTTAACAAACCTGCTGCTGTTAGTTTCAGTGTGAATAAGGCTTGTGAGCTAGAATTATGGCATCAAAGATTAGGGCATGTCAGTTATGATGTTGTTAAGAGGGCCCTTGAGCATTGTAATGTTCCCTTTATTATTAATGAAAATATCAGTTTATGCAATGCTTGTATGTTGAGTAAAAGCCACAGATTGCCTTATGAATCTTCTACTTCTTACACTTCCAAACCTTTGGAGCTTGTGCATACTGATTTATGGGGTCCTGCACCCATAAAATCCAGAAATGGCTTTTCTTACTATCTCAGCCTAATTGACCATCACACAAGGTTCACTTGGATATATCTGTTAAAACAAAAATCTGATACATATCAAGCCTTTGTGCATTTCAAAACCTTGGTTGAAAACCAACTTCAGCTTAAGATCAAAACTGTTCAAAGTGATTGGGGGGGTGAATATAGAAGTTTGTCTAAATTTTTTGAGGATAATGGTATTCACCATAGAGTGTCATGTCCATACACCCCTCAACAAAATGGTCTAGCTGAAAGAAAGCATAGGCATATAGTAGAGGTTGGTCTGTCCATGTTGGCCCACTCATCTATGCCTCTTAGTTTCTGGGATGATGCTTTTACCAGTGCTGTTTACACCATAAATCGTGTGCCAACAAAACTCCTTAACCATGCAACTCCTCTTGAGAAACTGTTCAACCATAAACCAAACTATAAGAGCCTAAAAGTTTTTGGCTGCCTTTGCTACCCTTGCTTGAGACCCTATAATAAACACAAGTTGGAGTACAGATCTCAACAAGGAGTTTTCATAGGATATAGCAGTGCTCACAAAGGGTATAAAGTTCTTTTGCCAAAGGGAAAGGTGATCATAACCAGAGATATTATATTCAATGAGAGTGTTTTCCCTTTTGCTCAAAAGGATAAAGTTCAATCAGATTATGGTGTCACTGATCCTACCAGACTGTCTTTTCCTACTGTTCCACCTTTAATCCCTCAAAACACAACTCCTCAAACACCAATAACCATTAACCAAGATCCAGAAGATACTTTACCCTCAACACATCAAAGCCCTCTACAGCACACTCCAGATTCATCTCATTCTACCTACAGTACAGTTCCTTTGGTGGTTGAGTTACCTTTTATGCAAAATGTTTCTCCTGCTTCTGTTACTAATCCTATCTTGCAGGATTGTTCTGATGGGAATAATCAAGTGAATGAAAGCCAAAACACCACTCAGGTTCAAAATATTCATCCTATGGTGACCAGAAGAAAGGCAGGAATTCACAAACCTAAAGCTTATGTGGTGACTTCACAAGATGAGCTGGAACCTATGCATTTCCATCAAGCAGTTAAACTTCAATCCTGGAGACAAGCAATGACTGAGGAATATGAAGCATTACTATCTAACAAGACTTGGAGCTTAGTACAGCTCCCTGAAGGAAAGAACCTTGTGGGGTGCAAGTGGGTTTACAAGCTAAAAAGAAACTCAGATGGATCAGTCTCTAGACATAAAGCAAGGTTGGTTGCTCAAGGCTTCTCCCAGTATGCAGGTTTGGACTATAAAGAAACCTTCAGCCCTGTTGTTAAGGCAACCACTATAAGGTTGATCTTATCATTGGCTGTTCATAATTCCTGGAGAATTAGGCAGTTGGATGTTAGTAATGCTTTTCTTCATGGGGAGTTAGAAGAAGAGATATATATGAGACAACCTCTGGGATTTGAAGTCAAAGGAAAAGAAGACCTGGTGTGTAAGCTAAAGAAAGCTCTCTATGGGTTAAAACAGGCATCAAGGGCCTGGTTCAAAAAGGTGCAGCATGTTTTAGTAAACCTTGGCTTTGTTACCTCTCAGGCTGATAATTCTCTCTTCTACATGAAAAAGGGTCAGGATGTCATTTACCTTCTTATCTATGTTGATGACATCTTGATTACAGGAAATAATGAAACTCTTATTTCATCAGTTGTCTCACAGCTTCAGAAGGCTTTTTCTATAAAGGACCTAGGAGATCTGCATCATTTTCTTGGTATTCAAGTGACTAAGACTGATGATGGTTTATTTCTCAGCCAAGGAAGTTACATTAAGCAGCTTTTGGAAAGAGCAAAAATGAAGAACTGCAAAGGATCACCTACTCCTATGATCACAGGAATGAAGTTATCAAAATCTGATGGTGATCCTTTGGAAGATGTAACTTTTTATAGAAGTCTTGTGGGAGGTCTTCAGTATGCAACCATAACAAGGCCAGAACTTGCTTATAGTGTAAATAGAGTGTCTCAGTTCATGTCTAACCCTCTTCACACTCATCTCAAAGCAGTTAGAAGAATCTTAAAGTATCTTGCAGGGAGTGTCAATCATGGGATCCACATAAAGAAAACAAAAGACCTTTCTTTGATGGCCTTTTCAGATGCAGATTGGGCTAGTGACATAGATGACAGGAGATCTGTAACAGGCTTTTGTGTATACTTGGGAGATAATCTTGTGTCTTGGACATCAAAGAAGCAGACTTGTGTTTCAAGGTCCAGTACTGAAGCTGAGTACAGGAGTTTAGCTCATTGCACTACAGAATTGATTTGGATGCAATCATTGCTAAAAGAGTTAGGTGTTCAGCTCAAAGGTATCCCTGTTATCTGGGTTGACAATCAGAGTACTATCTCCTTAGCAAGTAATCCTGTTATGCATGCGAGAACAAAACATGTAGAGCTTGACATTCATTTCATTAGAGAGAAAGTTTCACAAGGGAAGATCAGTGTTCATCATATTCCTACCTATGAACAAGTTGCAGATATCTTTACAAAGGCCTTGAGTTTCCAATTCTTCACCAAGCTTAAGAAGAGACTTACAGTAAGTTCTTTACCTTGGCTCGAATTGAGGGGGTGTGATAAATTAATATCCAATCAGCATTTGCCTCGTCAGCATGACCAATACACCTCCTCCTTGCATGAAGACAAACAACATGCTGCAGCTCGTGAGAAACTTAGTACACAAGGTACAAAGGCCAGCTGCAATGGCATAACGGCTCTCTCACTCCAGCCTTCATCCATGCAGCCACGTGGACGGCTCAGATTAGCCGCAGCTAATGAAGAGAAGAAGGATCTAGATCCTTAGCCGTCATCTAGGTTTTATTCTCAGTGATTATATATATGTGTGGAATGAATGCCCCAAATGATTAAGCAATAATATGAAAAAGAAAACAGAGAAGAAAAGTTCATGAGCAACATGTTTTTGATGAGCTCGTTTTTCATTTTTATCACAAATTCCAACAACACTTAGGTGGCATAGCAGCATGTTTGAGAGACTCGAACTTTTTATCAACACTTGCTATTGACATTCATGTAATAATAAAGGTTGCATCTGTATGATTCTGACTGTTAACGCATACCCATTCTACCTTGGAGGTACTCATCCATTTTGGTCTGACGTTTCGAAGAAGGAGAAATAGATGAAGACTACTAAGGTAACGGAAATTCCAATAGAAAATTCATTTCAAATTGGAATTTCCATTGGAATCCATTAAAAAATTCCAACGAATATTCATTGGAATTGCCGTCGAAATTCCGCTGAAATATATTTCCGTTGGAACTTCTAGTTGGAATTTCTTGTAGTGTGTGTCTATTAATTTTTTCTTTAATGTACTCGTCTACCACTAAAGCATCTTGGAAATACTTTTATGGTGTTATGGTAGAACATTCAATACTCGTAATTTAAAAGATAAAAACAAAACAGGTTTTGGTGATTCTTGTTCAACACACTGCTAACTAACTGGTTGGTCGACTCCTCAAAAACAGGTTTTCAGTTGCTTTGGGCAGTACTTCTGCCTGCATTTCGAGGCATTTCAGTTAGGGTTGTCCCTTGTTTACATAACGTTCTTACGTTTCATGGGCAATGACAACGAGGCAAAAAATTACAGCTATAGCCTCGAGGTCTGGAGCAACGGCAGGAAGATGATGTGGCAAGGTGTGCCCCGAAGCATTAGGGATAGACACCGAAAGGTCCGTGACAGTTTTGACGGGTTCATCATTCAACGCAACATGGCTCTCTTTTTCTCGGGTGGGGATAGGAAAGAATTGAAACTCAGGGTTACTGGTCGGATTTGGAAGGAGCAATAGTGGGAATGATTTATGGGCGCACTATCACTCCATAACCGTGTTTTTTTTTTTTTTATTTAGTTGTAGAATTAGGTTATTTATGTTCTTTGGGGCACGGTGGTTTCGTCTAGCCATGTGTTTCTCGCACGAGCAATCTCTCCTTGCTCGACCGGTGCATGAAATACATGGTTAGGGGAATTCGGCTACGTGCCGTGCATTAGGATGTTGTATTTGTTGATTTGGAATCTTTATAGTTCATGTATGTTTGTGCTTGCATAGACTTGTTAGGTACTTTGGCGACAAAAAAGATACCAGGAAATATGGGCTATAAGAGATTGTGTTACATTATTGGATATGAGTTATTTTGGTTTTTATTGAATTTGTTGATTAATTAGAGTTAATTTTGAAAAAAAAAATTATTGAGTTAAGTTTGAATGAGATATTGAGTTGTATTAAAGTAATATTTCAAGTCTAACTGTTAAAGTTGATTTTATGTTAAAGTAAAGAGAAGTGATTGAAAGTCACGTCTTTAATAGGAGGTTTTGAAGAGGTTTGAAAATTTATTTATACAAACCTTAAACCTTTTGTTTCTAATAGCAAACCTTACAGGTTTGTATTTTCAAACCTCAACCAAATCTCATGGGGGGTTCAAATAAAGTTTAAAAGTATAGTTTTATAGTAAATAAATATAGCTTTATGGTAAATATATATTTAATATATATAAAGTGTGATATTAAAATAGAGTAAGTGGGAAACATATAGGGTCCATTAAAAAAAGTTTATGGTTATTTGGAGTGTTTGGCTGTAGGAGCAAGAATGGGGTTTTGGGTTATGTGGCACGTTGAGAATAATATAGGGAAGCTATCCTATAACATTCTGAAAATATTGTAAAAATAAAGTCCATAAACAAATAATTACATCTATACCTAGGGAAATGCTCACATGCCCACGATGGGCACATGTTAATATGCCCACCGCTGATGTGGCATACACACATTGGCGATGTTAATATGTTAAAAAAATACATCACCAATGTGTGCATGCCACACAAGTCGAAAGTCAGTTATCATATCCTTTCAACTTCCATCCCTTTTTCATGCCCTTGATTAAGAGAGAGAAATGAAACTTCCATCCCCCTGTTTATGTCATTGGTTAAGAGAGAGAAATGAAAAACATGCATATAATAAATAACAAACTCCTTTAATTCATTAATTCGCGTAGTTTCTACTTTTTATGCCATTGGTTAAGAGAGGGAAATGAAAAACATGCATATAAAAAATAACGAACTCCTTTAATTCATTAATTCGCGCAGCTTCCAGTGTTCTTGCTTTTTTCTTAATCTTCATTCTCATCTTATTCAGTTCTTTTACCTTTTCTACACATATTTTCAATGCAAACCATATCGGTAATTATTTTCTGTCCCACAAACATGCGCTTAGAGAAGACGAAGATTTTGTGCTTACAGAGTGTGAGATTCAATCATCTCTCCTTTTTCCCTCAATTTTCGGCCCCCCGATCTGGGAATTGCGAGCTGTGACTCGATGAGGAGCCCTTCTTGGGAATCCATGGCGGCCACCTAAGCTAAAGCCCTGCCGAGGCTCATGGTATGACAGTCTGACTCACCCAAGCAGTTCAAAGTTCAAAAAAAAAAAAAAATAGTGTGGATAGAAATTAGGGGTTTCGAAAATTAGGGAGAGTATGTGATTTCCAAAAATCTGATTTTGACTATTTATCCATGTCATTGCACACGTGGGACAATCGTATCCACGTTATATCTTTTAATTCCAGGTAATAATGTTTGGTTAGATACGTAAGCACCGATGGCCGGATTCTGACTTTGGTGTATCATTTTGCAAAGAAATCAAAGGTCGTGATATTCTCGGCCAAGGTCCAACAGTCGTGATGTTTTAACAATTTGATAAAAGGTCGTGATATAGCGAGCTATTTTGTCAAATTTTATAAGGAAAAAAAAAAAACGAGATTGTCAATCATAAATATTTCTAGTTTATTTTTAGTTTATTAACAGTATCTTTCTGGTTTAAAAAGACATCTTTCACGTTTTATTAACAATATATCTTTCACGTTTTTATTAACAATATATTTCTAGTTTATTAATAGTATATTTCTAGTTTAACAATATATCAAACAATATATTTTTAGTTTATTAACAGTATTGAGGCCAACGCACACAACATACAAACTTCTTAAACCTAAAAGGGTCGTAGTCAATATAAAAACCGGCAAATTAGTTATCCTGAAACTGATTCAAATTCAAATTAATCAATTCATCCCATACCCAACCTTTTACCAATTTCGAATCATATTTCTTTATTTCCAAATAATGCAACAAAACATGCACAAACTATCAATATCTGTTTCTGAATTTTACATTGGGCTCGCCATCAACATAAATAACGGCACCGTCCCTGTAAGAGGGACCGGCCATTCCTCAAGTTGAACTGGATCGGCACGCCCCGACCAAATCCGGGCGTGAACGTGTACATCGATTTAAATCCATACTTGTCCATGATCTCGCGCACCTCGAACTGGTCCTGGTCCCACCCGGCCAGGCCCATTTTGATGATGTCGATCGGGCCCTTCCCTTGCTTGTACACGTGCACCTAAGCCTCCGGAACCTTCATGGTAATGGTTCGGGTCTTCGGATGAATCGGGTCAGACTCGGAGGTCTTCTGCAACAACAGCACCGCCGCCTCTTTATCAATATCTCTGACCCCGTTGTTATTCGCCATCTCTGTAATAGGCTAATTGGGTTACGACTCTCGTTCGTTTGTTGTTATTTGGGAAATTTTTTCGAGTAGGGTGTGGGGTTTTGGCAGCTGTGTTTTTCGAGTAGGATGTGGGATTTTGGTCTTGGCCATTGAAAACATAATGTTGGGGAAAATGTTTGAAGAGATGGAGAACGTGGGGTTTTGGGGTTTTGCTTGCAGATAATGGGTGGTAGAGGATGATGATTAGGGGCAGTTTTTTTGTAAGGATATATCAAAGTCTCAATTAATGATCTAATTATAATTAAATTACCCCTACATTCCTTAATATCGGTTGAATTATTTGTAACTAAAAATCTGGTATATTTGTAATATTTTGAAGTTGAATGAGCTATTTTATAAATAAAACTAAAATAGGTGTAAAAATGTTATATAAATATAATATGATAGTATGTGGTGCAAATTCCTCCATAGGAAAAAAGAAGGTTTGTGGAGGTTTACTGTTTGGGATGTATAAGTAGTTAAAATATGTGGCTGAATGAATGAAGTTAATTAGAATTGATGTGATGTGTAAGAATGATTCGATAATATTGATGAAGGTTGGGTTGAATTATATTTGAACTAGATTTTGAATTTAAAAAGTTATCTTAATCTGTATCCAATCAGGACCTCATGTTATCTTATCAAATTTCGTGTTGACCTATGGCTATGGACTTGGTGTTCAGGCCGGTTAGGCCCAAAAATATCTATCTGGTTTGTCAAGGGTATGATGTGATCGGGTCGGGTTTAACCTAATGCAGCAATGCGGAATTTTGACAGCTCTAATAATATGACCGACTTGTATAATACTTAAAAACTTTTTTATCAAGAATTTTGTGATTCCAGTTTCCAGTATTGACGTCTGAAAGTTCTTATGGTATTTGCATGGTTTTTGAATAATACAT